GTTTTCAGGTGGATTTTCTCAACATATTAAAACTACTTTATTCCCACTGATCACAGCAAATATAGCTGCAAGGCAGAGAAAGGATAGTGAAGCTCCGCCCAACGCGCCTCAGACACACTTTTGCACCGCGCAGCCAGAGCAGCAAAGCTGCTTCAGCCGCGCGTCAGAACTAACTGGTACAAGCAGTAAAAATGAAGCAGCAGACGGGATTTTGCTGCTTTTGCTGCGTCCGGCGTGAACGTAGCATAATACAACTGCCCGCATACTTTATGGCGACACTTTGCGGTCAGTTTTTTTCAGAATACATAGATGACATATCGAGGGTACAGAAAATTGAAACAGAATCTAATGCATAAGAAATCAATAATATATTTTTTGTACCTTTGCATCCTCTTGCTCCCTAAACATGTTCTTTAACTTATATTCCTTAAAAGCCTTGTTGCACTGATGCAAATGGAATAGTATATAAAAGCCAAGTTCTTTACAGTCACACTTCTTTTTCATCCTTCAGACTTTGAAATGTGTTTAAATAGAGAAATACATCTTTTTTTTTTTTTTTTACAACAGTGAAAAGTGGATATTGCAAATAAAAAACAACAGCCACCAAAAATTACAACCTATATAATAATATATAATGGTTTATGCAGAAACTTGTGGGAAATGATGCTTGCATTTACAAAAAAATGGTTGAAAATTATGGCAATACAAAGATTTCTAAAATAATTTTTCTAACAAAAAATAGTTAGAAAATGAAGGGACCCTAAAAGGTTTACCATTATTTTTTTTATCATCATTGATTTCAGAAAAGTGTGAGTTTTATTTTCTCTTTCTCTGTTAGATATTTTATGTTTGTTTATGAATTTTGGGGTCATGGGATTAAAAAAATATATATTAAACTGAAAAATAAGTACAGTTGCTCCTCAGCCAGCAGTGTAAGTGGCTGCATTTAAAATGCCTGATGGATGTTTTATGCTGAACATAAAACGTAACCATCAAATGTGTTGAGTTTTGACTTCCTCGTCTCTGTACAAATAAAGGACTGTTTAAAATCTAACAGTGAGTAATTATCACCCCATACATCATTAGGTTACAATCAGATGAGCTTACCATCTCTCCGGTTGAGTTTGGCGAATCCCGCTGAGTGGCTGCTGGAAAGATGGGAGGAGCTTCTGAAGGATGAAGGCAGCAGGCTGGACACCAAAGGGCTGTCACACACCTCTATGAAACAGAAGGGAAAAACATTTTTACAATTTCTCTTGTTTTGGTTGTATTATTCTACTTACTGTAGGTTCTAGAGTATTTCAAGTGCATGTATAACCAAAATGCTGTACAAAGATTAATTGAAACAAATGTCATCTGAGGCAAATATAACACCATCATAAGTTCAAGGACACATAAAATAAATCAGAATAAAACTGGTGAGGCGTTCCAGGCACGTCCCACCGGGGGGAGGCCCCGTGGAAGACCCAGGACCATTGGAGAGACTATGTTTCTCGGCTGGCCTGGGAACGCCTTGGGGTTCCTCCTGAGGGGCTAGAAGAAGTGGCTGGGGAAGTCTGGGCCTCCCTTCTTAAGCTGCTGCCCCTGCGACCCGACCCCGAATAAGCGGAGGAAGATGGATGGATGGATGGATGGATGGATGGATGGATGGATGGATG